TCCTAGTATATAGGAAGGCTAGGAGTCCTGGGTGGCACTGTGGGCTAATGCGTCAGACTGCAAAGTCGTTTGAACTGCAAAGTCAGTGGTTCAAGCTCACCAGTTGCTCCTTGGAAGCCCTATACAGAGTCACTATGGGTTGGAATCGACTCGATGGCACTTAACAACAACAACAACAAATATGGGAAGGATGATTATTTGCAGTAAGTTACTTTCCAGGTGGTATCATTGATGGTGTCAAGTGTGGCAGCGGTAGTGAAGTTGGCCCAGGGTTGGACATTGTTTCGTTCTGCTGTGCATGGAGTCGCTATGAGTGGGTTCCAACTCGATGGTTCCTGACAACAACTTTCCTGAGTACAACGGTTAGGGGATTTCTTTAAATATCACTGTTTTTCAATATCACAAGATTCAAGTAAAACATTATCACGTTATAAAATTATGAAATTTCAGTTGCTCAACACAATAAAAGTTCATTTCTTGTTTACATCACAGTCCAATGCAGGTTAGGCAGTTTTCCTGTAAAGCTCTTCTCCAGTTAACCTCTGATTTGAATTTTCGTGTGACATTGGAAGTGGGTAAGGTAAAGAAGGGTAAAGGTGGAGACTGTGTGTGGCCTAGTCACGTATTTCTCTGAAGTGAAGGAAGACCTCCCATGAGGTGTGTGTGTGTTAAGTGCCATCGAGTTGGTTCCAACTCTGAGCAACCCTGTACAGGGTTTCCAAGGTTATAAATCTTTACGGGAGTAGAAATCTTCATCTTTGTCCTGTGGAACAGCTGGTAGTTTCAAAATGTCAACCTTGAGGTTAGCAGCCCAATTAGTAACCACTACACGCCATATATATATATATATATATACAGTTACGAATTGGGCTGCCATTGAGAACTAACTGATTGAAAGAGAGGTGCTGGATATAAAGTGCCAGGAACTTCAGAAACCCCGTATCAAAGACTCAAGGAGAAGCAGCCTTCCTGGGGCCAGAAAAGTGACAAGGCAAAGGACTTGGAAAGAAACAAGTTTCTACAATAATATTGCAGACCAATTTGGGAGGCCCAGCGGCTGCTTGCAGGTGGTCTTCTTGGTCACTGATGTAAATATTATTACATTTTTAGGATATATAGTTTTGCTGATAGTGCAGAGAATCAAGAGTTCAAGTTATAAAACAAAGCCATATTTTTCCCAAATGCTTCCATCAGAAATCTTTTCACAGCTTTGAACTACGTATCTCATTTGTGTTTGTCTCCAAATTGAACAGACTAACATATTTTTTAAAAAATATACTCACTGTAAGGTTTTAGCAAAAACTTTTGACATGTATATATATGTTGTTGTTGTTCCAAGGGTTTCTGAGGCTGTTCCAAGGGTTTCTGAGGCTGTAAATCTCTGAAAGAGCAAAAAGTTTCATCATTTTCCCGTGGAGAGGCTCCAACCCTTGGGGTACTGGGCTCCAACTGCTGACCTTGTGATTCATAGTCCAGTGCTTATCCTACAACACCACACCAGACTATATTGTTGTTATTGTTAAGTACAATACAGACAGTTCTGACTCATAGTAACCCTGTATAGAGTTTCCAAGGAGCGGCTGGTGGATTTGAACCATTGACCATGTGGTTAGAAGTCCAGTGCTTATTCTACAGTGCCACACTAGGACTCCATTGTTGTTGTTGCTGTTAAGGTATCATGGAGTCTGCTAGAACCCATAGTGACCCTGTATAGGTTTCCAAAGACTATAGAAAAATTGAATGAAAAGATAATGGAATTTTCCTATGAAATATTTGAAACTTTCATATATAGGTTGTTGTTGTTAAGTGCTCTCAAGTCTGCTGTGTATAGGGTTTCCAAGGAGCAGCTGGTGAGCTTGAACCGCCAACCTTACAGTTCAAACTGACTTTGTAGCCCAGCACAACTCCAAATATTTGTGTGTGTGTGTGTGTGTGTATATATGTATATATATATGTGTATATGTATATATATATAGAGAGAGAGAGAGACAGAGAGAGATACACACACACATATACATTTGGTTCAAGCTCACCAGCTGCTCCTTGGAAACCCTATACAGTGTCACTATGGGTCAGAACCGACTCGTTGGCACTTAACAACAACAACAAATACATATGTAACAACAACAAATACATATGTAGGAATCCTGGTGTGGTGTTATAGGATAATGCGCTGGACTGCAAGGTCAGCTTGAACCACAACAATGACAGTTCAAATCCACCAGCCACTCCTCGGAAATCCTATACAGGGTCACTACAGGTCGGACCCGACTCCAGGGCACTTAACAGCAACCTATATATGTGTAGATGCTTGAAAAAATGTTATGGAAAATTTCCATTATCTTTTCATTCAATTTTTCTACACTTTTTGAAGTCTCCTCAGTGCTGATCCACAGCGCCACACCAGAAGTCGCATAGATAGGCAGATAGATAGATAGATAGATAGATAGATAGATAGATAGATAGATAGATAGATAGATAGATAGATAGATGTTGACTTTTTCTCCTTTTCAAACTTAGCTTTCTTTCCTCGCAAAGTGATTCTAAGCATGTGGGTTTCCTCAGTGATTCCCCTAAGGCCTGATTAGCATCTCAATTTCCTTCTTTAATAAAAAATTCAATCAAGAGCCACTTAATGTTCCTAGTTGAGTTTTTAAGTACAAACAAAACAGTGATGCAAGTTGAGCTGTGGAAGAAGCACAGGGGAGATACCCAAGACCACTTAGGTAGAACAAGGGCAAGAATTTTGTTTTATGTCTTTGCTTCCCAGGGGCTATAGATCTATGCAGGACTCCTGACTTGGGGTGGTCTGATGAGCACATTTACATTCTTTAGTGCCAAAAACCCCTGCCTCAAAGCTATTTGAGGGAGAGTTCTGCGAACTGAATAAATAAGGCCATCCCTTTAGGGGACCATTTCTTCTTTAAAGGAATGCCAGAGGAAGAAGAGAGAGGCAGGCCTGCCTGGAGTGCTGAAATGAAAGGTAGTGTGGCAGAGACTGGAGAGGGGAGAAGTGAATCAAGTCCTAGAAAATGGGCAAATGTGTACTTGAGGTGATTATAGCCAGAGGCCACTGAGAGAATAATTTTCAAGTCATTTCCAACTAGTTTTATGCTGTTGAGTTCTTTAAAGGGACTCACATTTCCTATTAGAAATGTTAAAAATCTATTACAAACTAGATAGTCTATTTCTTTATAAATGATTGTATTTTTATTGTTTGGTGATCTAAGTTTAATGTTTTTAAGTTTTATCTATAACATACAGCTGACAAAATCTTTTGCGAGAACTTAGGTAATTATCTTGATTCAATGCACTTGATTAGAATTAAACCCTTCTCACTTGAGTTGGTTACGAATTGGGCTGCGAACCTAAAGGTCAGCGGTTCGAAACTACCAGCCGCTCCGCGGGAGAAAGATGAGGCTTTCTACTCCCGTAAGGATTTACACCCTCGGAAACCCTGTACAGGGTCGCTATGGGTCGGAACCGACTCGACGGCACTTAACAACAACAACAACACTTGAGTTGGTGGTTCAAATCCACCAGTCGCTCCTCACAAATCCTGTTCAGAGAGGCTATAAGTGGGAACCGACTAGACAGCACTTAACAGCACCACCTTCAACCAGACCTAAAATACTCATCTTTCTAAAAATTTGTAATAGTGAAAAATTACTCTGGGGATTGAGGCCTTCTTGCCATCAAGTTGCCTGGGATTTTTTTATTTTCTCTTCCAATATTTATAAATCCAACTACTTCTTCATTCCATAAATTTCCTAGATGCTCACCATCTAGGAATATCTATTGAGCACTTATGTGTTATATCTATTACTTCTCACAAGCTCTCCTCAGAAGGACAGGGCTTCCAGAAAGAAAAAAACCTTTCTCGCTTGACCATGGTCAACAACTACTAATCATCAACTCAAAGGCATTAAAGTGAAAAACAACAGATCATTACTTTGGACAGATTTGGAATAGAACAGCCATTAGATTATGCTTGCACCTACTTTTTAAAATATATTGGAATCAGAGTCCTGGTGTAGCACTGAACTGCCAACCACAAGGTCAGCAGTTCAAACCCAACAGCCACTTCTCAGAAACAGGGTCTCTATGAGTCAGAACTGACTCGATGGCACTTAACAACACTATTAATTAACACTTTGATCAATTCAGAGACCAAATTATATTCTTTATACTATATTGTGACATACTATAAAAGTCACAATCGGGCGGCAAGCCTCAAGGTCAGCAGTTCAAAACTACCAGCTGTTCCACGGGAGAAAGATGAGGCTTTCTGCTCCCTTTTCAGCCTCAGAAAACCTGTATAGGAGTCGCTATGAGTCGGAACTGACTCCACGGCACATAACCACCACCACCATAAAAGTGAACCTAGCATTTGCCCTGTTCCTTGGATGATCAATACAGTAGACAGGAGATGGATGTGCCTGGGACTCTCCCTTCCAATGTACATATAAGTATTGATAATACAAGGTAGATAAGGAGTTTTTGTGGTGGCAAAATGAAGCTATGCTAAGCTAAAAGTATGCCACAAGATAAAATCTACAAACAGCCAAAAACCAATTAAGTAGCAAGGTTGGCGTTCAAACCCACCAGCAACTCCTTGGAAACCCTATACCAAGTCTCTATGAATTGGAACCAACTCAACAGCACTTAACAGCAACAACATAATAGTATACAACTTTAATATACTATTTGCTTTGTTTTCTGTATAAGAACACTTCCTACTCCCAACATAGTACCTCATCCCCACATTGGAAGCTATACTGTAGGAGATGATCTAATAATACATTGCACAAGTTCTAAGTAAGAAAACCAGTTTCAATGATGAAATTCTGTGATACCTTCAAATCCACAAGGCTAATGTACTTCCTCATAAGCATGATTACCAGTATAGAAAATAATCACTATACACATAAGCTGAAAATAACTTATAAATCTCATGATAATTTACACATAATCAAAAGTAAAATATGTATATGTTTCAGGTGGCTGAGCTTGTAACTAGTGAATTCTTTGAACAAGGAGATCGTGAGAGATCAGAACTCAAACTCACTCCTTCAGTAAGTTCGTTATTTTTTGCTATTTTGCATATTATTTTGCTAATGCACCTGGCTATATTATGATGTCTTAGTTACCTACTATTGCCATAAAACAACCACAAAAAATGCCACAAGTATCTTTAAAGAATCGAATTTTGTTTTCTCAAAGTTCTGGAGGTTAAAAGTCAAAATCATGACCATGTCGATTTATCTGTGGGCCTCTCTCCTAGATTCTGGTGTCTGCGAGCAATTCTTGATGCTCCTTTGCTTGTAGATAGACCCTAAAATGGAGTATCTGTCACTCCATTTCATTCTGCCCACCCCCCAGAATATGTATAACTCAATCTTTTCTGCTCTTTCTGTGAGACACCACTAGAAGTGATTAGGTTTAGGATCCAGCAGACTCTAGTATAACCTCAAAGAAAACCCCTGTTTCTAAATAGTCATATTTATAGGTACAAGATTAGGAGTTCAACACAAAATTTGGGGAGACAATTCAAGGTTCAGGGTTAAGATATCAACATAAACTTTTAGGAGACAACTCAATTCATAACATATGGCAATATTATATCAATAGGAATTATGAAAATAATGAATAGATAAAATATTTGAATTGTGAACGTCTTGATAGTCTGGGTTTTGTTTTTTAAATTGTGCTGAAATATAAGAGGACTTCAAAAAGTTCATAGAAAATATCCATATTCCTTTCATTTCATTTTTCTGAAAAATTTTAAGCACTCCCCTTCAAAAAGAATATGTTGAAGCAGATGGGAGAACAGTTAGGCAGGTTTGCATAGACTAAGTGGGACAGAGATAAATTATGATGTATGCACAACCTTGGAACAACAGGGCTCTGGGATACAGGGATTGAAACATGGTTGGAATGGGGAAAGGGGGCAAAATAATGTTAAGATGCTTGGCTGTCTTGTAATCTTGGTTTCCCTTGCATAACATTATAAAATAGACACTTGAGGGGGAGAGAAAGGAATAGCCAGAAATATCACCATAGAAAGCTTGTAAGTCTGTCTTCTGCCTATAACTGATTGTTGTTTTTGTTAACTGCCAGTTGAGTTGATTCTGACCCAACTTTTCAGTTCAGCACATTAACCTGCAGCACCATGCCAGGACTCCATTGGCTTATTTAACAGGGTTTAAATGAGAAAATATGGAGTCTTGGTGTGGCGCTGTGGGTTAATGTGCCAGACTGCAAAGCTCTTTGAACTGCAAGGTCGGTGGTTCAAGCTCACCAGCTGCTCCTCAGAAACCTTATTCAGGGTTGCTATGGGTCAGAATCAACTCGAAGGCACTTAACAACAAAAACAAAAATTGATAATTACACTGAATGTAAATGGATAAATTCACCAGTTAAGAGACAGAGGGTGGCAGGCTAGAAAAGAAAGCAAGATCCTTAAATATGCTGTCTGCAAGAGACCTATCTCACACACAGAAAATAAAAACAGATTAAAAGTCAAAGGATGGAAAAAACATACCAAGCTAATTGCAAAAAAAAACAAACAGGAGTGGCAGTACTAACCTCTGATAAAATAAACTTTAAGGCAAAAACCAGCATAATAGATAAGGATGGACATTATCTCATGATTAAAGGGACAATTGAACAAGATGACATAACCATAATAAATATCTATGCTCCCAATGAAAGTGCTCCCAAATATGTAAAGCAAACTCTAATAGATTTGAAGAAAGAAATAGACAAATCTACAATAATAGTGGGTGATTTTAATACACCACTTTCAAATATGGATAGAACAACCAGAAAGTAACTTGACAAAGACACAGAAGAACTAAACAACACAATCAGCCAATTGTACCTCATAGATGTGTACAGAGCATTCAACCCAACAACAGCACAATACACATTCTTTTTCAGTGCACATGGAACATTCTCCAGAAAAGGCCATGTCTTAGGCCACAAGACAAATCTCCATAAATTTACAAAGATCAAAATACTACAAAGCATCTTCTCAGACCACAGTGCTATCAAATTAGAAATCAACAATAGGAAGACCAAGAAAATAAAGTCAAATACATGGAAACTGAATAACACCCTGATGAAAAGCAACTGGGGAGTAGAAGAAATAAATGTGAACTCACAAAGTTCCTAGAAACAAATGAGAACAAAAGCACACATACCAAAATCTTTGGGATACGGTGAGATCAATGCTGAGAGAACAATTTATTGCAATAAATGTACACATCTAAAAAGAAGAAAGAACTAAAATTAACACAGTATCTATAACAATTAGAAACATACCAACAGATGGAACCTACAGCCACCAAAAGAAAAGAAATAATAAAGATAAGAGCAGAAAAAAATGAGATAGAAAAACCGTAGAAACACTCAAGAGGACAAGAAGCTGGTTCTTTGAAAGGATTAACAAAATTGAAAGACCATTGGCAAACTTAACAAAAGAAAAGAGAGAGAAGACACAAATAACAAGCATTAGAAACCACATGGGCAATGTCACAACAGAACCAAAGGAAATCAAAAGGATAATAACAGAATACTATGAAAAGTTGTACTCCAAAAATTTGAAAACTTACAAGAGATGGATATATTTTTAGAAAAACACGACCAACCTAAACTTACACACAGTGAAGTAGACAACCTGAACAGACCCATAACAAAAGAAGAAATTGGTCAGGTCATCAAAAAACTCCCAACCAAAAAAGTCCAGGCCCAGATGGCTTCACTGGTGAGTTCTACCAAACATTCAGGGAAGAGCTGTCACCAATGCTACTCAAATTATTCCAAAATATAGAAGAGGATAGAAAACTTCCTAATACATTTTATGAAGGAAGCATAACCCTCATACCAAAACCAGGAAAAGAAAGAAAATTATAGACCACTAAGAAAGAAATAAGGAAGACTGTAGAAGAATTGATGCCTTTGAGTTGTGGTATTGGAGGAGAATACTAAAAGTGCCATGGACTGCCAAAAGAACCAATAGATCTATTTTGGAAGAAGTGCAGCCAGAGTGC